CTCCCTCCCTCCCTCCCTCCATTCCCTCCTTCCTCCCCCCCCCCCAAGGTCGAAGCCCGCCGGTACAAGGACTTTGCCCGGAAGCTTCTCTCCTTCTTCCACGGGCATCGAGAAGAAATCGCCCAAGTCCGAAAATTGCGCGAAAGTCGGGCAAAAGAGGCGGCCCGGATGACGATCCGATCTTCTCCCTCTTCAGGGAAGGCCCCCCCGGGCAGGGAAGTGATGGGGCCGGAGGGACGGGGGAGCGAGGCAAGGGTGATGGAATCGGAAGACGAAGCGAAAGTGGGAGGAAAGAGCAAGGCGGGCCGTCGGGAGGCGAAAGGTGAGCGTTTGAAACGACAGTTGAGTAAACTGAAGGAGAAACGGGAAGGCGGGGGCGGGGAGGGAGGAGGGGTACTGGCGTTGAAGGGGGTGGAGAGAGGTCTCGAAGGAAGGAAGGAGGGAGGAAGAGGCGCCTCGAGGGCGACTGTGGTGAAGGACCAAAGGGCTCAGGCACGGAGCTTGTTCGGTGGCGGCGGAGGAGGAGGAGGAGGAGAAGGAGGAGGAAGAAGAGGGAAAGCTCTTCGTCCCGAGGGGTCCACAGTGGAGGAGGGCATGGAGGAGGCGGAAGAGGAGACAAGCCTCCGATCGATGCCGGGGGCATTTGAGGATAAAGGCAGGGAGGGAGAGGGGGAGGAGGAGGAGGAAGTAGAGGTACTGGCCACGGCCCCTCAGAAACACAAGGTCAGGCAAGCCAGCCGGGGGGAAACAGAGCCGTCAGAGGGATGAGGCGGAGGGAGGGAGGGAGGAATTTTAGGGAGTGCTGGGCGATGGGAAGGGAAGGAGGGCGAGCATGTATGATAGGAGCAGGGAAAGTTCTGGTTTAAGCGTCGACCTGGCGGGGGCGTGGGGGCGGAGATGTTCTTTGGGAGAGGATGAGGTCCTGCAAGAACAACGCATGATTAAATCAAAAGACCAAAAAACATGTCGACTGGTACGCATCAATTTTTGGGGGCCATCGACCAGGGCATGGCAACACGGAACATCCCTGAAATTTGCCGATAATCACCGGTCGGTGATTTCTTTGCCCAGTGAGGAAACCGCCCTCCTTCCTGGCCGTCC